TGACGATGACGAGGACAAGCACATTTGAGCCACAAGTATACTCTTGATTAATACAAGCCGGCTGGCAGAACATACTAGGTTACAATGATACTAAGGGAGCGGCAATTCTGGGAGGTAGAGATCTAACTCGGCTTCACTGTCTGCTAGACACATAGTATTACAGGCTGCAGTCAGTGGGAGATGCACCGCCCACTTGTTCTTGAAACAGTCGGCAAGATCCTTCTCTAAGCCAAGCCTGACGATAGGCATAGGCACCTAGACCTTCATCATCGGCAGAGATGCCAAGCATGTGTTCCGCAATTTTCTGGTTCCACCATGATGCGTGCCACCTAAGAAAGCAGGTCACCCAGCGCATCTCCTCCTGGAGCAGCTCAACTTCTTCTGCCCATCGCATGGCCCTTGCATGAGCTTTGCACCATTCCACTCTGAGGCCTGCCAGTAAAATTAGCATCTGTTTGTCACAACTCATGCTCCAGCTTACTATCTTGTACCGCTTCATCTTCATCATCCCCGACTCCTTCAACCAGCCAGATCCACGATAACTGTCTTCAACCTTCACTTTCCCCTCGCTTGGGAACTGACATCCCACGTATATTGTCCTTCCTCTCAAGAACCTTGTATCTGTGATCCCAGCCAACCTTTCTGAGTATGTGTGCAAGAGATGAGAGAGCCGTGCGGGCTGCACGATACTTCTCTGCTGCAGCTGTTGCCCTGGCTTCAACACAGCTGAGGGCGTTCTGGGCATGAGTATTTGCGCTTTGGCCACATAGCCAGTCCCTCTTGAAGGTATACATGTGGTCCCGCAGGCGAAGACTCTGTCTGATTTCCTCGAGGGCATCTCCGGCCTGAGCATATCATAATTCCCACTCGGTTGTGAGGAGCCACATATCGCAAGGTATAGGTTTGCTGCACAGAGCAGATGGGAGCCAGAGCTGAGAATCCTCAGGATTGATTATGTCTGAGGTACTGTGGGAAGGCGACTTGATCCTGGATTCTAAGAGCTGTACTATAGGGGTGTAGAGAGCTTGGATGCACTTCCAAGTATTAATTTTGTGTTGTACTGCATTCTGCAGTTGTTGGACTGTGCCCATTTGCATATCTGTGGCATGCAGACCCTGCTTTGAGATATCTACTTTGAGACAATGCCTGTTCGGCAAGAAATGAATTAGAATGAAATTTAAGTCAGATAATACCACATACTGTTTGTTCTCTAGGTCAATCCCTGATGCAATAAATATACTCGGAGAGACTTTGGTGTGCATTGAAACATCAGTGCCTTGATGGAGCTCAGACGCCTCAAGTTGGGCAAGTTTGAGCTGGACAGCAGCTTGTGTAACAGCTTGTAGCCCAATTTATTAGTAGCTCCTCATGATCGGATTTAGTGCATGCTACTCACGAATGACTTTCGCTTCAAATGGATTTGTGACCAATGAATCATTTGGGTTCTCCTCCCAGGATTCAATTTTGACCTTCCAGGCCTCTGTCATCTCTGGCGCCAGAGCCTCATTGAGTTCTTGAAATGCCGTTTGATGTGCCCCTCGTTCCTCCTGGGCCTCAATCATTTTACGAAGGAGTGTTGCACCTGTCACAAATACATTATCATACATGCCAGTACAAAGTTGCAGCCAAAATGTACCAAGTCCTATGACCTTCTTCCAGTTCCAGTCACCAAAATGGTCGTCAAGTGTGTCTCTCCGGGAGCCGGGCCCCATTTCTTTGGTACTAGAGGCCACAGGATTGATATTTGACCATCCCCGCTCAGGTGCTTCGCCATCAGTGCATCCAACATTCTTCGAAAAATTAAAAGAAAACTTGGTCTGACATGTCAGAATGTGAGCAGGGAGGTGAAACTTTGGGATGAAAAATCTGACGAATGTCGCCAGATGATCTAGATGGAGGTCAAGCGGCATTGTAGACATCCTCTGCCATAAGTTCTTGTGCCACTGGCAAACGATGTTGTACGAGACATTGAGTGTGTCAACACTGCGTCCACAGAGGCTCGAGAAGAACAAAAAATCCATATTTGTGTATCTATGTTCAGTCAGCATCATCAATCACCTGCCAGCTAATTTAATAAATACCTTTTGCCTTTTTGTAGATTGCCAACGCCATTTGGCAGCTTCATGTTGTGTCGAGCACAATCAACGGTCCCGACTCCTGTGGCAGCTAGACCATGAGATACTTTCATGTCTGCCATGTTCACTGCATTATGGGATGAACATGTACTTTTCTATGTATATAGCTGGTCAGAGTAAATTACATAGATGAATACAACAAAAGCTCACCTGCTGCAGGCTGCCGCTGTAGGACTGTAGATATGTCTTGTAAGCAGTCTCCTCGACAAAATAAGCCCATCTGCAACTGAGGCCAGGGTCCGCACTATCTTTAGACACTATGCGCCTTTTCAGGTGGAAATTGGCATAAATCGCTAGAAAGAGAGCATACAACCAACTAGTCATCAGTCAGCCAAGTGAGTATAGATATGGATGCAACCACTTGTACCATTTTCCTTTCGGCGCATCAGGCCAATTATCAGATAGATTTTTACCTGGTTGTGGACAAGCTGGGCATATCACAGCACACTCGCCACTTACAGTACCCTCCACACCAGCAGGGTCATATCCCCGGCCAGCCCGCTTGAGCATTTTTAGATGTCGCCATTCGCGCACCATCTGCATGAAGGCTTCGTAATGATCCTGATGATACAAGTGAGATGAATATTTGAACCAGAGGAAAGAGGTCAAACATATACCTTTCGTGGGTGAAGTCCTGTGTTATCTGAGAGTCATGCAACAGTGTGATAAAACTCATAGCCTGAACATTTGGATTCAAATGATAGGATGTGATATTGTTCGAGGATTCGGAAAGTGGCACCAGTGCATGGATCAGTCATTGTTGCCAGGAACCAAGTTGTACGAAGCAACTGCCTTGTGTGTGTCTGAGCGGTCTCACAGCCACAGAAATCAAGGCCGATCTCATGAATCCCATTGGTATCGATGAGAGTGAAGTCGTTGTTGAATGCCCTTTCAGGCAACAGGCATCGTTCACCTGCTGGATGTCCGAGCTGCACACGCAACCCTAGTTTCTTCAGCGAGACGGTCACGAAGTAAGAGCCCATCCACTCCTGTCAATAATCATTCTAAGTAAATGTCATATTCATCTGTTTGATAGCCTCTCACCTGGATCCAATGTGATGGGTTTTTAGTATGAGTTGCAACAACGCAATCATGGCAGCACAACTCAGTGCTGAAGCAAACTTCACAGTGAAATTGTGGAGCTGCTGGAGTCACAGTTTCTGCAGATAGTATCATATACATAGTCCCCACAGCCCTCGTGTCATAGCAGTTCCTGCAAAAAAAAGGTCCCGGTCCTTCGTCCATGTCAAGAGTGGGTGATCCTGGATAAATGAGGGATCAATATCCAACCTATATGTACACATACTGGCCAAGTCATTGAGGAATACTTACTCCTGCAGTGCGCTTCCGCCTATTGCTGTTGGCAGCTTTGGCTTCAATTTCAAAGTCAGGTTCCTGCCCTTCCAGAGAGTAACACCCATCATGGTCTAATGCAGCTCCTTCCTCCACTCTCATACTGACCAGTTGTTCAGATGAAGCAGGAAAACTGAGAACTTGTGAACTTCATGCAGTAAAGCCTTGACATCATGAGATGAATGTGTACACAGAGTGCACACTTGGTGCACCAGGGTTGGGAGGTGTATATGCATTGAGTTTCACTCGTTTTCGGTGGTTTAGATTCTTCAATGAAGGAGCACGGAATAAGCCAGCCTGATAATTACTTGAGTTGGTAGGACCACCCTCACTGGCACTCATGGTGCACTCAGGGAGTACGTGAATACTGTAGTCACACGAGCTTCAGTGCTTACAGGTGTCCCACTCTTCATTCAGAATATATCCCATTCCATCCAATCAAGCAGCGCTTGAGTCCGACTATCAATCCCATATCATGTACATCATTGGAATAATGCATTACACTTATTAATACATTGTAATGCATTTTTGACTCTGCCGCATGAGCTCTGATGCAATTTCATGGCTAATGCATTAAAGATCTTGCGGAATAATGCATTACTCTACTTGTGAGTTCCATGGTTTACCTGTATTTAAGGTTGAGATATGTTGATTTTGTCCTTCAGCTTCATATCACAATCATTCCGAGTTAACACCATCTACCTGCATGGTTCAAAAGTTGCTGTGTCGACGGGCTGCACTTAGTCCAGAGGGCAATGTCCAAGTCATTCGTGAGTCCCCTCATCTATCTCTCTCAATTGAATCATCCACCGTCTTGATTTGATGGTCTTAGGAATTATTGGGTCATGTGTCCTCCAAGCTCGGTCTTCATGTGTTACACCTTCCAAATCTTCCTGCATGCCTGTGGGTTTTCATGACTTGGATGTGGGCCTGAATAGCCTGACAGAAGATATTGCTGGTGTGTACTATCCTCCATCTCTGTACGAGTCTCACTTTGATTCAGTTATATTATCTGCGCCATGGGTTCCTTGCGATATGTCAACACTACTGACTTCATGTTGTGGCATGAACAGAGTGTATGTATCCTTGGCGCCATCCTACGCGCCTGCTGAAGACTGCAACAACATTATTTTCTATGAGAACAAGCGAGGGTATGCAATAGCTGCTGATGCTATTGCAGATGATTGTGACATTTTTTTCTATTGTGGCATGCTATACAATATTCCAGTAAATGCTAATGCTCCTCCGCCCTTCACCTGCATCACAAGTGGGCATTATATCAGGGTTTTCAGTGGCGAGTAAGTTGCATGTTATCTTAACGTCTCCGTGTCAATAATGTGTCTTTTCAGGGACTATGTGCCCATGGTGGAAGGAATTACCAATGCTGTTTATTTCAAGGTCGAGTCATTCGAGGTTGGGGAGAGAGCACTGAGGAATGCAATTGAACAATTCAATGTAGTCAAATTCCCCATGCCTTTGCAATAGGAGCCACAATTTATTCGTAGCTGACATCCCTAGTCTCTTTGTTCTTTCATGCAGCGTGCTCTTGACCAACATCCAACTTGATGACTTCCCTCCAACCCTCACTCCCTTCCTTGAGAAGGCGGTCTGCGAGCACCACTCGCACCCTCATGTAATGAACAGAGGCGCAATGTACAAACACACTGAAATTAGTGAAGACTGCTTAGAATGAGCTGAATATACAAGTAGACAGACAAATGCCATATCATTGTGTAAGAACCCAAAAGGTTCTAGCGAGTTCGAAGGGGCGTGGAGACTGCTAGTGGGAAGAGGATGCGCTGCAATGATAGATTAGCATTAAAGGAAGTTATTTGATAAGGATCGTGATAGGTTTTGAGACAATAAATGATGGAGATAGCGCTACTGTTAGATGATGAGTGCAAGAAGGATAGTCGATACTAGATATTATTGCCTGTAGTAGTGAGTGTACATGTGCTACTTTTATACCTTGAATGCTAAGGGTCCTCGGCTACAGCCATGATGAATTGATTAGGTGAAGACGGACACTGAAGGGAGTGGTGTCGCGCTTGACAGGGTAGAGTAAAAAGGTGAGAAGGAAAGTACGAGAATTTGAGTAAGTGGCGGCATGGTTGGGTATGATATTTGACAAAATAATGAGTTGCTAACTTGGATTTGTTGACAGATTCTAGGCAGTTAGGTTGCGATTAGGGCGGCGAATGATGAAAGGAGGGTCTGAGAGCAGGTGCATTGTTGGCACCATCACCAGCCACAGCCACAGCATTTTTGCTGCTGAGGTGAGGTGCTTCTTGGACGATGCGGCCTTGACGTCATTGATGGTATCTGCGGAGCACCGCATAATGATGCTGACCTATAGTCAAGTTAATCTCGAGTACTAGGAGGCAGCTGCTCGATCCAACTCATCTGGCGGGTGATTGTAACAGCAGTGAGCTTGAAGTCTCCAGTCACCTGTGAAAACCTTGACACCAGTGCAACACCACCACCAGTGCATCTAAATCATTTCCCTTACACTTCACAGAAATCTCAATTTGTAAACACCGTCGTTTTTAACCAGAGCATTCCCACCTTAGAATCCATAAACCTTTCTCATCCATACAGGATGCGCCTCTCAATCCTTCCCATCCTTCTTGCAGTGGCTGGTATTGGTATGTTTCACTTGAGGGAGCATGTGACGTAGTACTGTCATCTAGATGCTATTACAGTCAGTCAAGTCAGGTGCGGAGCCTCTCCATGTCATGGTCGAGAACCCGTCCAATGCCAATGCAAACATTCGCTTCTGCCATGCGCTCGCCAACACCAACAGTGAACAGCAACAATGACTCAGATAATGTTGTCTGCTTGGTGCGCCCGAGCATCGTAATGGCAACCTCCACTGAAGTCAAGGGCAATCATCACTTATGTGGCACATCTCTGGAGGCAGCAGCTCTCAGGACATCAAACACGTTCTGTCATGCTGTTGGCCTTCCTCTCATTGAGATGGATGCATTCAAGTGTGAGGTTTCCAGTTCTTCTGTTACCAGGCATCGAATGGGACAATGGGACAATCAAAACTCATCACCGCGGTACAGGATGGCACATAGAGGAGATGAACTGAACGTAGCTTGTGTGATACATGTATACTTGCGTAATACCATTATTGAGCCGTCTTGGCTCTCGCTGACATGATAGAGCACGTCCAAAAGCTCCCTGCAAACAATGAGAATAGTGCTATAGGTAGAAGTAATGAACGACGTTAATGAGCTTGAATGATGTTTGAACAAGTGAGCTAAGTTACCACATTGGGATGACAATTCTAATGTTACTGTACTCCTCCTGTGACCTAGTGTAAACTCGAGCTTCAAGCTCAAGGCTTGCTCTTGCGACTCTTAAATGGGCGTCACATACCATCCGTGTGCTAAATCGACGATTTACAACCCTCATTCAACCATGCAGGCAGGACAGATGCCTGGCAGTGTCAATGATGAGTATGTACTGCCAGCCTTGTCCGGCATCAGTCCTGATTCATACTTGCTTCTCAAATAGACTATCGCCATTAATGTCATTTGAACATGTCTTGACCCAAATGTCAGTCTTAATCACGAGTATGTACCATTCATATACTTCATTCTCGACTCATTCATACTCGCTACTAGTAGTATTGCCAATGAACATGTCTTGACCTAAAAGCCATGCTCAAGATGATCCTGGCATATGGTACGTATTCTACTGTCATCTCTTGCCGTCAATATGTCTGAATAGTATAGGCTAACAAATAATGGAAACCCGGGTCTCCGTCAAATCGATGCTGGACACCAGAAGATATCTGAACTCGGTCATACTACTCAAGATGAAGAACATGGTGATGGTTATCATCTTTGTTGTGTTCCTATGGGTCTTACCTCTTTCCAACTGGTGCACGGCAGCAGGAATTGTGGAATCCTCTATGCACCGTATCAAAGTGATTCACCTGCCTCCGAAGGATAAGGCAAGGATAAAGGGTGACACAGCAGAAATGGTGGAGGATGAGTTAGAGCGAATATTTGTCCGGGTTGTCATGAGCCAATGGGTAGGGAGGAAAACAATATTCTGAAGCCATCTATTCACAAGACCTCCCGCAGCGCAGTGGTTATGACTGACAGTGAGGTTGAAGGTAGCAACTCTGGAAAGCCACACAATCTGTAAGAAGATGATATCAACTCAGTCTTAGAGCCTGCCACACTCGATATGCTAGGCCTCACACTCGATATTCTTGCTCATCCCACGGTACAGTGGTTATGCCCGATGGCGAGGTTTGAAGGCAGCCAGTGGGGAAACCCACACAATCCATATAAAGACTGATACCATTTTGGTCTTAGAACCTGCCATACTCAACACATCCTTACTATCATTGGGATTGCGTAAGTGCCCAGTTTTTTTAGGTTCTTGCACCTGAAATGAAATTCATTTGGATAGATTCGGCATTCAACCCTGGTCCAAATGCACCTTGAACATGGGACAGCAATACATGCACTTTCAAGAATGCATTGTCAGCAAGATATTTGAGTGCTATTTGCGAGAGCGGAAGATTGGAAAACACAACAGCGAACATAATATATACTGTATATATATATTATCCCAGTCAGCCTAGCCTGGTCCATTGTACAATTTATGTATCAATACCATTGACGTCTGCTAGACAACAAATTGTGAGACTTGCACATTCATTCATTCAGATGATTGGAAAAAAACTTGGGCTGGGCCACTGAGCAGGGAACAGAACAGAACAGTCCAATCGAGAACTGGCCTATAAAACGAATGATTTATTTTCATCAACTGCAGGTCTACCATCTCCTACGCGCTCTCCTAATCTACTCATCAATGGGTCGTCGTGGGCCTAAGTCTTGGGCTAGCACAGAACAAACCGAATTTCTGTTAAGCAGACTCAGCCAATTCATTGAATGTCGACAGACAAAAGTGTACAAACCATTCTTGACCAACACATGGAACACATTTGAGGCACAGTGGCCAGAATGCAACTGTGCTTACAACAATATCCCTGTAGAGGGAGACCTCACGACAGTCGAGATAAAAGCACTAACCAAAGTCAAGAGTAAGCGCAAGCTGGTAAGTACTATTCAACTGTGTAAAATATGCTGGACCATACTGACCTGCATGGCCTTTCAGATGATCCAAACATGGTATAGATGGCAGACGAATGCCGCGTGTTTGGCGCGATCAGGCAGATTAAAAGGGGCACTTGACCTCAGCAAAACTCTGAGCGGAGGAGATGAGGTTTTGGGGCGAGCTCCACAAGAAGTAGAAGTATACTCACATATTTTCTACAACGAGCGCGTGAAGGGGGAAGCAGATGCGGCAATCAAGGCTGAGGGCATCAATACACGTGGAAAAAAGCTTGCCAGACAGAAGGACCTCACTTGTGTTAAATATGCTACTGAAGATGATGACATCAGAGCTGAGGTCCAAGAAAAGCACCAGGAGGCCCTTACAAACTGGAAAGAAAAACGGGAACTAGCTAGAGCCAGTTTCGTTCAAGAAGTTGAACAAGAGGAGAAGATTAAGTACATCCTTAAATTTCATATTGGAAGCTTATTCTCACCTACACATACAGAGCCTTCAATGAACTTGGGGCACATCTCAATCACATCTTCCGCCACCTGTCCTACAAGACAGGTGGGTTTAAGTTCACCTGTATCGCTGGAGGACGGAACCCAACCACAGGAGATATCGTAGTTCTTGAGTAAGTATTGAATTCGCACATGCTGGAGAGTATTAACTTACTGGTGCAGCTACCATCTCGGGGAAACAGACGTGGGGAGTGAATTTTCGGTCCAATACACTGGGTTTGGAGAGGTCCAGACAGCCTACACAGATTTTGTCAAATTGGCGCTTGGTAAGTGTCTATCAAATTTTACATGATGGCGACCTTACTGACCTTGTTTGATTAGCTCATGACGACAACATGCAAGCTCTAGCAGATGCAGGTAATGCAGATGAGGTAGTCAATAACAATAGCGATGGAGAGCCCAACAAGTCGGATGAGATTTTTGGGGAGGGTAGTCAAGTAGACAAGGAAAAAGCAGAGGAAGGACAAGTTATGGACAATACTGGGATGGAGCTGAATGGCCTTTATCAGTTCGACCTCATGGTAAGTAATGCATTAATCATATCTAGAATTCTCACCACTAAAGCATCACACTTCCTACAATACTGTAATGCATTTCCGGTAATGCATTACTTCGTGCAGGATGACTACACATCCACCATACCCGTTAACTCACCCACGGGCACTGGGATCACTGGCATAGCAGCTGTCCCTAACAATAATGACACCCCCCTCGATTTGGATCAGTTTGACTTATCCAGCCTGGATATGACTGATGTCGACACTTTCTTCACTAGCCTACCCTATGACCCATTTCAAGTTGCTGCCAGTGGTCCGCCGTCTACACTTGAAGATCTCTACTTTAGTTATATGAACTGACTTTTCCGAGTCGTCTGATTTCTCATATTCACTACCACCCATTGCTGTCGAACTGATGGATCAAATTTACCTGCATTCGCCAGTAATACAGCCATGCATAGTAGCACACCACTTCCTCATTCTGACTATCTACTACCTAGAACTCCCTCGAGTGCCTCCGAGTCCTGCATCAATGCAATAGATTCCAACACATGCCATGAGCCTCTTACTAGTCTAATAGTTGTTCCACAAGAGGATTCTGCAGGTCCACGTCGAACGACACGCCACCATGTTCCATCCACGCATGAGCATGTCCTCAATGCAATCGGGTCATCGGGTGCACGTGTGTGCCCACCAGTCTCAGTTGATAAAGAAAATAACAAGCAGAAGGGTAAATCCACTGGCACGGAAGAGCAATCCAGGAAGTAAGACCATTGTATATATTCCCCTTCATCCAGCTACTCACAGGACATTCTCAATAGGAAACAGAAACGCACTTGATTGAGTATTTCCTTTCAATTACTTGAGCACTGGCAGCATACATCAATATTCAAATCCAAGTAGTACTTAGTGGTAGGATCTACTAAGTAGCTGTAACAACCGTGTTACGTTCCCACACCATTTTCCACAAGTGTTACCATTGTTCTTACCTTGCCTACTATCTCTGACTTCGTGCCTTTACGATATTCGTTTTGACGACGCTATGTGTCTACACTCATCATGCTCATTATCTACTGTTCCTATATTCTCCCAAGCTCTCTTATTGTGATATCTACTATAGCTTAAATACGGGCAGTTGTCATAGACTTAGTGCAGCGTTTTTGCAACCCAGAATACCAGACTCTAACTCTGTCTATCTTCTACTGAGAACATTCTATTGTGCCGTTGTGTTCGAGCCTTACACGCTAAATACTCAACATCACAGTAGATCAATTGTTTTTGTGAATACCAATTGTCACGCCATGTCTGAAAGATTTCGAGTGTGCCGTGTAGTGAGATTTAATGAAAATTCAAACTTACAACTCCCACCCAGCTGCAAAGATTCTAAGATCATTTAATTCATATGGTAATATGACACTGTGACATTGTCTATTTAGCATGAAGACAACGGCACGAAGAGAAGAGAGCTTTTGAATGAAAATCATGGACAACAGGGAACAAACAGGTAGTGCAGTACTTGACTGATAGGGCAAAGGTAGCTTTAGAGGTAAGTAAATGAGTGTAGTAAGGAGGATGAGAGGAATAATATTGAAGGTACCAGACAGATGATGGGTGGGAGCTGTAGGGTAATGCAGCCACTACGGATGCCAACTTATTGAAAAATGTTCGAGGGTGACATGATGAGATCTATGGATGAAAACTTCAGCCCATGCTCGCTGAGATCTGAAGTGACTGTAAGTCCATATCATAGAATTTGAAATATGAAAGAACTGACTACAAATGCACGATAGTACGGAGCTTCATGCCTGAGGAGAATTGCTTGTCGACGGCCTATAGTAAGAACTTTAACGTCCAAACAAGAAGTTCGGCATCACAAACCCATGCTGGTAGCAGATGAGGAAGTGTGAAAAGCAGGCCCTACTGGGAGGGTGGTTAGTACCTAGTACTATGAGTGAGTACTGGCCGCAGGTGCCAACGAACCTGTTGCAAGGACCCTGGCGCCATGAGCTATATAGCACTGGCTGCATGCCACACACACATCAGGGTTTGCAATGAGTATTTGAGACAGGTTTGAATGTCATGTGAAATGTCAAAAATCGCTTGATATGTGACATTCAAGTTATAATGCATGAGGTCTGACTAATGCATTAGGGCGTCCCAAAATGTGAGAGATAAATGCATTAAATTGACTATCATTGTTAATGCATTACACTTGTCTGCTAACTATCATGTATTATTGCATTATTATGACATGGTAGCCTGGAATCCTATGACAGGAAGTGGTGAACTATGAATCTGTTTTAATTTGTCATGCGGAATTCCTAGTTCATCCCATAGAGTCAGCAACTTGACCATATCTCTAGGCAACATCTTTTGATATTTGCAATAGAATGCAAAGTCCTCTGCTTCTGCGTATGAGAAGGAATCATCAATGTAAATATATGCGAGAATGAATCTGACAAAAACCGTGAGTGTTAGGTACTGTGCCGACTCAGGAAGCAGAGGGGTCAGGGCTTGGCTTCAGCTCTTGTGCTGCACCCTTAGCTGAGTACGTGCCCTGAATTTGGAGCGGGTCCAACGTTGTCCGATGGTGGGACGAATGGGCTGCTTGGGTCCGCTTTGAGGGCCGGGGAATAAGAGCTACTAGTGGCGGGCCGACTAGGAGCGGAGCGGAGAAGGTGGGAAGTGATGTGGAGGGTGGATAGGAGCAGGGGGAATGTTTGGTAGGGGCGGGGAAGGCGGAGGATAATGTGGAGGGACAAGGGAGAATATTTGATAGGGGCGGAGTATAAGGGGAAGACTTAGAGCACAGCTCTAAGTCGGAGTGGAGGGTCAGAGGGTCAGAGGTGACAACAAGTTGAGACTTGTGTCCAGAGGAGGCAAGGTCCTACTGAGAATTCTCACAACATGTAACTGCAAGAAGACAAGTAATATTAAGACTGAGGAAAATATCTAAGTACAAGATATGTTATATACTTCTATGTATGAGGCGGTGATCAGGATAACTATGTAGTAAAGCTATGTACCAAGGATATAGTTTGTAAGTATTTTACATAGGTGAAGACATAAGTCGGAGTGGATATCAATATGTACACGTCGGATCAGTGATCAAGCGGTAATAGGAATTACTGGTCGTCCGGAAGTAAGGGTCTATGTACTAAAGGGGGAAGTATATATCTAAAAGGGGAAAGAGGTCCAGTTGAATGGAGAGGTTTATGGAAGGGGACCGGTTGAGCGGTTGAGTGGAAGCGTAGGGTTGGAATGCGGACTTGTGGTTGGACTGGAGTGGAGGATGGATGGAGCGGAGGGGGTTGGAAAGCGGAGCGGATATCAATATTGGAGCGGTCGGATCAGGTATATGACAGCGAGCCAAATAACCAAGGACATGAAGGCAGTGGAATATCCGCTGAGACGCTCGACCTCCAAAAACATTTGCCCAATCAACTCTCCTTTGACCATTGAACAATACAATTTGTTTTATTTGCCACAACAGGTGCATCGGCATATGATGATATGCTTCCAAAATGTCGGCCTTCCAAATGGTAAGAGGGTGGTCAGGGTTAATCCCACGATAACGACGTAGTGCATTTCCTAGATCTTGAACATTGTCAAGAGTAACTCCAGCAATGTCCTCCTTGGCAATCATGGAGTTAAGCGAATATTTCGCCAGCAGCTGTGGTTGGTAACTAGCCGAAACTTTCCTCCCTCCTTAGGAATAGCATGGATGGGCATTGAATACATGCCAGGGCAGGAGATCGCGACCAAAATCACATGAATACCTTCCAACTGCTTCCTCCTTTAAGATCTGATCGTGAAGGAAGGAGAACTCTTCCTGCGTCTTCGGCACCGGTGTGCGAACTTCCAAAGTAGTAGGGTAAGTACCGTAATGAGTATCTGCCCAGGGCCAGAAACCCTCTCATAATCCTGTACAGACTGACTGATAAAAGGGAGCATTGGGATGACCCGAAGAAATAAGTAAAGATTCAAACACGTCGACATGAATCAGAGTCGAAACTTGGAACAAATCAGGATGAGTAGCGATAGTATGTAAAGCTTGTTCATTTTTATACTCATCTTGAGGAGGATGAGGAAGTGGTTGCTGCAGTTTTCGGTCCAGATCGCAGTATGACTGAAAACAGGTGAGTTATCTCCCCACACCATCTGTTGCCTAAATCGCTGCCTCTTGGCGATCCGCTCATTGAGTTCCTTTTGCCAAAGGACACTCCGTGCGCCTATGCGCTCCTTTGCAATTCCCTCTATTGCAGACGTGATAGTAGAGACACTCTCTTGCCTCCTTTTTGCATTGACCCCTGTTCCATTTGTGGCAGGGTTCTCCAAACCTAGAATTTCCAGGCCACTTAGGTCCTCCTTGAGACCTTCCTCCTTGATCCAATGTGCTTGACCCTGCCTTAGAGAGTCGGTTGACGGCAACCATCCCAAAGGATGAGAGATGACTGGCTCGGAGTACCTCAAACCGCCTGAAGCTATCGAACCGCAAGAACTTTTGTTGCTCGATGAGGAGCCAAATGGCTCGATCAAAGTTGAGAACTCGTTCGTGCACCAAGTAATGGATGGTCCTGAAGATGTCTGACATGAACTTGCGAAATTCCCTGAGCTCTCGCTCCCTCCAGGGCATGATAAAAATAAGGGCTTCACTCCAGAGTTCGGTCGCGATGCTCCAATCTCCGAAGGTTTTGACCTTTTGTGTAGTTGTAGGTTGTGATAATGTGAGCTTGAAGCCACTCCCGAGGACTTGCGTTTGCTTGGAATCAATGGCAGTTGAGTAATGACCTGAGAAGACTTTGTCAAGGTCAAGTGCTCGTCCTTCAAAGAGAAGGAGCCATTGCGACGACGGTAAGCTTGGACATCCTGGAGTAGTTGTGACTTTGGTCTGAAAGAACTTTGAATCTTCCGACCATTCCTCATAACATTCAAGGGTGAGTTTGAGACTCTCGTCTGATGAACAGTGTCGGTACTTGTCAGGGTTGAGCCAGGGGAAGAAATTGGTTTGATCGCCTGGGATCTTTCTTCTTTTTTGCCGCTGCACAAACTCCTCCCCTGATTCAGCGTCTGAATTGTCATCATCTTCTGTTTCTTTTGACCCGTCAATTCCTCTTCTAATTCTTTGTTGTGACCTTGACCCCTTTTCAGAGATTTCATCCCCGTGCTCCAAACGTGTCTGTCCATGTTCTCGGGAACTCTCCCTGATTTTGTCATCCTTGCGTGCATCGTCGAGGAGTTCAAGATAGTGATTGAATCTGGACTTAAAGGTTGGACTATCTTCATTGTCAGTCACAACTGCAAGTTCGCGGTGAATGTGAAGAATTGCTTCTCCTTTTGAAATTCTTTGTTTTCAGTAGTTAACGACGGTTTTGATACATTGTTCGACGACCTCTGAATTGAAGGATTCAGATCTGTCGGAATGATGGTCACTTCCTGGTGAGGAGTGACGAGTTTGCGATGATTCTTCAGCATTATCGATCATTGATGAGAAATTGAATTTCAATGATATGTTTAGTAGTCGAAAAGTTAAGCACTGACACGACGACAAGCAGATGAGAAGAGCTGCTAACTAAAGACTGATACCAGCGACATACCTGACATGACGACGAGCAGATGAGAAGGGGTGCTGCCTCCTAATTGCTCAGTCATGTCAGGTAGAGGTCGAGATCCTTGAGATCGCTCAGCATGATCGACAAGCCGAGAGCGCCGAGAGCGCGTGCCACAAAGGCAAAGGGAAACTGGCCCTAAGGTAGGCCCGCACGTGAAAAGCTTAGTCGTAAGTATCAACCAATTAGACTTGTGTAAAAAAGATTAAACTCGAGTAAACACCACATAAC